CGCCTAATTGCACAACAAATCTCTAGTTTCTGCATAACGATGAAAAATACAGATGGACTGATGGCTGTTCACAATCCAGGCACCGATCACACAGTGACCAAACTTGGACTAAAAATTCTCCCACAGAAGTGCATGTGGTACCCTCTTCTCTTGCTTGTTTTCTTTATCATTTAACGCATCCTCCCTCGGTCGTAACACTTTAAAGTCACAACGTTTCACAACTTTTACCATTCATTCTAGTATTCTTTATATTTCTTTGTATTTCGTTTATGGCATTGTGCTCGAATATTAGTGATGTTATCTTATTTCTGAATGGGTGACTCCAACTCTTTCATTTCACATATCGATTATTTTATGGTAGTGTCGTTGATAAGGTACACCTTACCAGTCCCCAGTTAGCATAATCTACCAGTGTACCAAATAATTCAACGCTCAACCTAAAGTATTGAGGGCAGAACACAAATTAAAAAGACCTGGTTATTGACGAAATAGTGCTCAAGCGCGGCGAATATTTGAGTAAAATAAAAGGTATCAGCTATCCAAGCAGAAACGTTTACAAATTCTCTAATAGACATGGCCTTATTTCAGACCCAATGAGTGTGCGTACGGGCAGCACAACGAGGAGGCATAAAATGGCGTTGGGGCCAGTTCATATAGGTACATATTAGAATAAAGTCTTTAACATTGGAATGTGCACTACAAAATAATCGCTAAAGTCTTACTCTCTCAACTTTAATGCATCCTATTTTGAACTAGCCGTTCTTCAGATGTAAAAAGTAAACTGACTTGTATCTTATCTCCCTGAAGCCGTATAAATATACTACATTTAATCAATATCATAGTCTGATATTCAGATAACATGTTTTGCGGAGTTTTGGATTAATTTAAATGTAGAATTCGTCATGAACCAGCAATGATTTCCCAAATGATGTTTATTCCCGACGAAATCTTCACTGACTTTGTCAAGTAGGTTATGGGCAATTATATAATTGATTTCACTTCACCGGACTGCAGCTCATGTCGATCGGTGAACTGCTACTATGACATTGAGCTAGGTGCCTTGATAACTTTCGAAGTGATTTTAATAATTCCTTTGAACATGTCTTTGATCTACATAAGCGAATTCCTAAGCACATAGATTTCCAAGGGCCCTACTGCCTAATGATATTGGTGAGGAGAAGAGGAATGACTTCAAGCTTATTATTGAAAACGAAAGTTATGCTGTAAGTTTTCAGTAAAGGACTTTGTCAAAGCATATTGTTTGAAAATGTAATCATGAATTTTCCTCCGTCACCCGTAACTACCATATGCGCCGAACATCGGTGAAAGTTCTCAATGATACAAGCATTTTGAAGTGATGACTGACAGTCTTCACCAGTAACCTAGCCTGTCGTATAACTTATGCCACAATCCTGTGTATATATGAACTTGGTGATATTGAAACAACAGATTAGTTTCTTTTTATCTTCCTCAAATGTAACGATTCACTGTGATGGGCCATTAAAATACAATGAAAAGCCTTAAATGGTTGTTATAAAGGGGGAAAATCATGTGTTTAGTAAGTTGGTCACGTGGGAAACACAGGGGATGTAGTCCGTCAAGGTGTGATTGATATTTAAATATGTAATGAAAAAGGTGTAACGCATTTGCCATATGTTTCTTCGCCACTGGAAATCTCTTATCCATGGTTCCTATGTCCATTCACTTGATGAAAGTTACAGACAGAATCTGAGTAGCCTTGAACATAGTGGCACTGAAAAACTGTCATAGTCACAAGCTGACAGGAAGAGAAACCCTATAATAGGCTTAAAATCAGAACCAAAATAGTGTCTTACGAAAGAAATGAGAAATACAGTTCAAAGCGCTTTCATTTTTATACACGACATGATTTCAATCCAACAATTTACATTTATATATATGGTGACTTCAAATTTAATTAGCTGTATATTTTTACCTTTTCTTTATTTCTTTTTCTGTCTGTTAGTTTGAATAACTTGACAAATTATGTGTATTATTATTACTATTATTATCTCTTTTCTTTTGACGACGATACCGTTAGACTAACTAGTGAAAGGATCAACCCCTTTCACAGTAGAAACGAAGTCTTAATACACTGCAAACTACAAACAACATATAATTAATCCCAGCATCACTCCTTCGGGAGTCGACCAAAGCTACGACACTCAAGTGTCGAGACGAACTATGCAGAATTTCAGCAAAGGCCAGGAACCTTTACCTCACAATCAAGAAGCGTGCACAAAAAATCAAATCGGTTTACACTAGCTCGTAAAAACATTATCGATCTCGTTCTCTGCAAGCATTTGCAGTGGGACGTTACGCAACCATGTCTGTGTTACAGCACGGCTGACTATGCTGAAATGCGGAGGCTCTTGTCCGATGCAGACTGGCCCTTAGCATGGGATGAGCTGCCTATGGATGAACACTGGGAAGCGGTTAAAAGATTATTCATGCAGTAATCTCGGATACCGTCCCTTTAGTCACAATACAGCCCAAAAGAAAGTCATCATGGTTAAACAGAGGCACACAGCGTATTCTGCAAGCAAAGCGGAAAGCTTGGTTTACGTGGCGCGTATCTAAGAGTCAGATCGACCACGATGCATACCTGGAACTCAGGAACCGGTGCAATGCAAGAGTCAGAAGAGACAGAAGGTCATTCCAGGCTAACCTTGCTAAAATCTCCTGGCAAACCCCGAGAATTTGTACCGATTCATGTCGGAAAGAAAATCAGCCAATCAGGGGGCATGCACCTTAGTAGGCCGGAACGGTCAATATCTCACTAGTCTGTAGATGGCTGAAACATTTAGTTTAGCCTTCGCCAAACAGCTAAACAGCAATGTGGGTATTACCGTTACGGACCAAAATGGTGGCATCACTATTTCACAGGAGAAAGACCAAATAGCCACCTCCAAAATAAACCCTGCAATAGTACTAAGAAAGCTGCAGCGACTCATACCTGGGAAGTCCCCAGGTTGCGACGACGTCAGGCCATCTGTTCTGAAACAGTGCGCTGAAGCTCTCTGTTGGCCCTTATGCAACTTGTTCCAACACTCCATGGAATCGGGGAAACTGCCAAAGGAACGGAAAAGAAGCATCCTTTCTCCGAGCTTCAAGGGTGGGGATAAGCAAAATCCCACTGGTTATAGACCAGTAGCTCTACTCCCAGTGGTATCAAAAGTACTGGAACGTATTATTGATGATCACATCAGGGAATATGTCGATAGGTCTAAAATACTCCATGAAGCCCAACACGGTTTCAGGAAAGGGGGATCCTGCGTCACTAACTTATTATCAGCTTGGGACGACTGGACATCATGCTGGGATATGAATATTCCAGTCGATGTGATCTTTCTAGACTTTGAGAAGGCATTTGACACAGTTCACCATGACCTTCTCCTACACAAAATAAGCCAGGTAGGCATAGGTAAACTGCTTCTGTCACGGTTGAAGGACTACCTAACTGAAAGGCGATTTTGCACTAAGGTCAATCGAGTCCTATCATCTTGACACAGCTTGTCATCAGGAGTGTCTCAGGGTTCTATCCTGGGACCATTGATATTCTTGATTTTTATCAGCGATCTACCATGCCGTCTAAGCTGTCCAACTCTTCTATACGCTAACGACTTAAAGGTATGGAGGGCAATAAAGTGTTCGGAAGACTCAGATAGTCTGAAGGCAGATCTAAAGCTTCCGGAAGACTGCGTGGTGACCAAGGGTGTGACTTTCAACCTGAAAAAGTGTAAAGTAGTGAAACTACACACCTGTAGACTGCAGAATGCAAGTTACACCTTGTGCAATGAAAGCTTGTCCTGCTCAATGTCGGAACGTGACTTAGGTCTAGTTCTAACGGAGAAAATGGACACAAGCGTAAATTACACGGGGGATGTAGCGAGAGCATATGCCGTCATACACTTTACACATAGACAATTAGGTGCACTCACTCCTGAGCTCTTTCTAAGGTTGTACAAAACATACGTCAGATCACACCTTGAAGTGCGTAATATCATTGCACCCCCACTGCCTAGAAGAGACGCCCACGTCTTGGAAAGAGTCCAATGACGGGCAACAAAAGCAGTGGTTGGTCTCCGAAACAAACCATATTATGAAAGGCTGAAGAAAAAAGGCCTATTCACACTTAGTTACCGTCGTCTTAGGGGGGATTTAATTACAGCCTACAAAATAACAAATGATCAGAATCACCCAAACAAAGGTGTTCTGCCAATGAGTAGGTATGAGCTCCCTCGTGGAAATCCTAGAAGGATAGCTCATCAGAGGGCAAGGACCCGGGTGCGCTCCCACTTCTTTTCCCTGCGGGTTTGCCGTCCCTGGAATTCTTTACCGGCAGATGTAGCTATGGCACCATCTGTGGACGCCTTTAAGCGAAGGCTGGACAACCATGCAGCGACACAAGGACTTCATCCAAATGGCCTATCCCCTTAAAATCGCATACACCATTCAAAGGTAGACAATTAAACTGGTCGTTTTACTTCTTTACATTCTCTTCCGTCTTACTCTCCTGAAAGCTTTAACTACACCTATTATTATTATTATTATCATTATTACCGGTATATATATACCGGTTGACTGACTGTTGTTACATCTGAATTATATCCACTAATTATATCTGTTATTACCTCTTTTCTATTGACGACGATACCGAAGGACCGACTGGTGAAAGGATCAACTCCATTCACAGTAGTAACAGTCTTAACACACCTCATTCTACAAACCACATACAATTAATTCCTGCACTACTCCTTTTGGAGTCAACTAAAGCTACGACAGTCGAGTGGCGGGACGAGCTACGCAGACGTTTACCAAAGATCAGGAACCTCTACCTCACAATCAAGAGGCGAGCACAAAGAAATCAAATTGGTTTATACTAGCTCGTAAAAACGATATTGGATATTGGAAACGATGGCAATGATTCAACGATTAACGGTACTTTCCATCACTTAACCTTGGTGTGGGAGTTGAGTAGTATGGCCTTCTCTAGTCTTTATGGTATTTCTCTTTCTTTTCATCTAATACTGTTTAGTTAAACGACTCTGTGATTCACTTGTCGTGATTATAGGAAGTGTCGTTATTTCTGGAAGTATATTCGTCCTGTTTTATCGTAAGGATAGGAAGAAGTTTTTTCGTAAGTTTTTTTTTTCAGTATGCCTTTATCGTATAGCCCTTACCATTTGAAAAATGATTTATCATTAACGATGTCCCTGAATGCGATAAATATATATGTACACCGAAATAAAAAAAATTGTTTTATTTAAATACCTGAAATTTCAGGTTTTGAGGGGGCTTGGGGAAAAATGTTGCATTCTCCTGATACTTTTCCATTGAGTTGCCCCCTAAATTATTCGGGTATATATATGTGACGGTTATTTATTTAACTTGACTTGAAAATGGATCATAACAGCTCCATTGGTGAACGCTTTCAAAGAAAAACTGGATCTCTGCAGAGATATATACCGCGAGGATTATCATAGGCAACAAGAGCCTTCTATCCTTATAATCTGAACCTGAATCTGACCCAACCAGCGTTCTCTTCTGGCGCACTGCAGAATTTTCTGGATGAAAAGGTGATTTGTGCGTCGGTGGCACAGTGGTTAGGACTCTCGCCGACCATGCACATGGTCCGGGGTTCGATCCCCTGCCGGCGCACACCCGATATATATGGTATGCCTGAATTTGGGCTACCGATATCCATGCTGAAAATTCCATACTTGTACTGAAAATACGGTGTGGAATCAAGCTGTAAATCAAAATAAAATAAAATAAATTCGAATCACTTTTGGTCCTAAGTCCTCCGCTTCTTTCATTTGGTTATCTACGCATTATGTTTGAATTGCATTGCATATCATATTTTCCTCTGTTTCCAGTAAAATGGTTGCATGATTGGTCCTTCCTAATTGCCTATTTTACAAACAGTATTAACATACCAAATCAGGATAATGTGGCTCATCTGACTGGTTATTCAGCAACATTTTATCGGTCGTTTGCTTGAGTCTCTATACTTTGGTCTTACTTAACAACTTTCATATGTTAGATAAACCTGAGCATTTTCGTCTCACTGAAGGTAGCCATAAAGCTTGTAACATGAATAGACCACTGAGGCGTTTTCCAGGATTTTTGGCTTTAGTCCTAGCAGTAAGTCTCTGTAATGATCTTATATTCCAGCAACAAATTTCCGCCAGACCTAGGACTTGGGTTAATTTAACCAATACACAGTGGGTCACATAATTTCGTGATCATGTTCTGCTGTATCATAATAAATAATAAATAAAAAAAATAACAAAATAAGCGAGGTTCATGGAACATTTCTTCACGTGTTTGGCTTTTGTCTGTTTTAGTATGTTTACATCTTTTTCAAATAAAGACTGAATTTCAGGGTCATGTCTCCCTATAGCTTGTCCTGTTTTATATCCGTTCTCCTTACGCTTTAATTGTCTCGGTTTTACTGCATCACTGTTATTAATGTTTTGATTGGAGATAATTACCTGTCGGCAACAGTTTCATCTTGGCTAGTTCATTACATGTGGAAGAATCTAGATTTAAACATGTTCACTCACTGTTATAAGAGCATATGGTATGTATAAAAACAGCAATGGGAGAGATTAGTAACTGGATATGCAGAAGTACGTAGGAGTAGTAGCATTCAGTCTACAATGGGACTAGAAGATACAGTGATGGAGTTAATAGTCTATGTTTTACCGATGCAGTCTCACCACACCGATTGAGATTGTTCGGACACGTGTCTTGCATCATTATCTGTCAGCATCTAGGTTTATCAATGTTGGCTGTCATGAAATTGTGTTGAAATAGAGTTGAGGGTGGTAAAACCAAAAATATATTATCAAATCATTAAGTCATTGGTTGTCATTTTAGGCTAAGGAGGGAGTTGTAGTCCACCTGACTGGTATCCTACAGACTCTGACCCACGTCGCCAACAGTTTCCAGCCACCGGTTCTCAAAGTTGTACTATCACTTTGTGATTTCCCCCATGTAATTATTCTTTTCCGTATATTATAATTTCGTTGAGTTTTTTGTCTTGCCAACCTTTTCTTGTGTGTGTGTGCGCTTTAGGGAATGTGCAGAATCAGATTGCTGCACTTTTCTTTGCCAGGTTCTATGTTGAAAGCGTGGTTCCGTTCAAAAATATCATGGTGACATGAAGTGTGTACATCCATTTTGAGTCTGCTTTTAGGGTGTGTGGTATAGTGTACTTATCATGATCCCGATTGTAATACTATAGTACATCCAGGTTTTCACGTTCTACGATGTGCTAATGCTGTGTATAGTCAAAGACGAACAACGTTGTGTAATGAACCAAGTGAAAACTTGGAAAGATATATTGTTAACGAAATCAAATTTCGAATGAAAAGCAATGTTCAGTAATACAACAGCATATATTCCACAAGCATAAAGTTGGTTTCAGTAAGCGTATAATATGCGTAATTGAATTAGTTTTCCATTAAAGATAAAATATATTTTGATAAAGTCTCACAGTGTTATACAGTAGTAGTATTTACTGATGACGTTTCGAGCACAATTTATTGCTCATAATCATATCACCTGGATGTGAAACGTCATCAGTAAATATTACTGTATAACGCCGTGAGACTTGATCAAAATAAATTTTATCCTTAATGGAATTATACTCTAACACAGTGCACAAGTTCTGTTCTTATACCAATGAATTAGTTTTATAAGCGAACAGTTAGAGGCACTACAGTAGTACCCATTTTGCTTATAATTTTGCATTTTACAAAAATGTCTTGTTTCTCAATGAACAAAAAGAAACTGGTATTATTTTTCCTCATGTTCCATTATATACTACTAATTGCTTTATCAAAGTAATTGTTTTTCATTCACTAGGAAGCATACAATTTTTTATTACAATTAGTACTATGTTCCTAATGCCCTTTGTTTTTTTTCCAAACCGTTTGAAGTTTTATTTTTGATTACTAACGTTAATAATTTCGTCTGTTAATCATTTTTTGCAGGAAGTTCTTCAGATTTGCCAGTTGGACTTCCAAATCCCAGAAATGTGTGTTACTTTAATGCATTGATGCAAGCGATTGCAGCAAATCGAAGTCTTGTACGCCTTTTGAAACGTAGTGCTCGTATGCGACCAGATAAATTCATGTATCGTTTATTATGTTTATTAGAGGGTAAGAGTTCATCTTTTGCATATTTCTTTTTTTAAAAATTCATGTGAAATCCGAAAAGCTCAGAGGACACTTAATTACGTCATATATATACATGCAAAGAAATAGTGTTTGTAACTGGGTCACAAACATGGCGCATTACGAAAAACATTTCCAACAGATTGCTGTAGACTTTTATCAATAGCTGCCCGCTTTGCTGGCTCCTTACTGAAGATAGAATGGCTAGAAAGAATCAGCAACAAGAAACGATGGGAACAAACAAACCAAGGACCTGTCGTTCAACAAATATGTAGAAAAAAATGGATATGGGTTGGAAATGTGCCGTTACATCGACTGAGATGGTTAGGACATCTGTTGCGCAAGCATGCCTAGCCATCGCCTTCTTCAACCGAAGGGCAATGTTAGCTGACATAGGGTCATGACATGACCTCAGTCAATGAAATCCGCAACAGTTAGTTTAAGCCAGTCACGTAGGAAGGTGTAGACTTCCTGGTTGGGTTCTTCGGAACGGTAAAACCAATGGCTGGAAACAGTCGGTAATATTGCTCAAAAATCTTTCTCAAAGGTTTACGCAGATCCATCCACTTCTAGTGGAACTATATGGTTCTTCGTTATTACTATTCCTTTTGTCTCATATCCCTGTCTACTGTCTCTATTTTGCATTTTTCGTGTACTTTCTTCTTTTGCTTTGTGTGCTACATGGAGTGAAGTGTGGCGACTTGAACTACTGCACATATGTGCAAAGTTCTATGTCGAAAGCAGACACATAGACAGAAGAGACTGTTGAATGACATCCCGCGGCAGACCTTTTAGTGGGATCTGAGTGGGAAACAACCAGTGAGTCGTCCTAGAGTGACATGGAGGAGATCGTGTGGCGAGGAGGAGATGAGAGATTAATGGAAATAATGGGGTCAGCCAGGTGAAGAGGACAGCAGAAAAAGGAAGAAATTGGAGATGTGTTGTTGGAGCCGTATGTTCCACTAGGGACCCGATGAAACAGTAATGTATAGTATGATAATGATATATATATATATATATATATATATATATAAAACAACCAGTTCCTTTTATAAATTTGGATATTGTTATTAGAAGACGGAGATTATCTGAAAAATGTGATGTATTTGCGTTATACATTTCGAACAATCTGATCAAACCTCAGAAGTGCACAAGTGATTATGTCACATCCCACACTATTTACCAATTTTCGTGTGTGTGTGTGTATGTGTGTAGACACACATACATAGGGAGGAGTAGTCGTGCTTTGCATGTGAGGGTGGAAGAGCATATCCCGGTTTTGTGGTGTCCCAGAAACTGTATAGAGGAGACACCGAATATGCACTTTGTGGGGTTAATGGCGACGCCATATTGCTCACATCGCTGAAATAAGATGGTGAGGTGATCTGTATGTTCTTCAACCGACGAGCTAGCAGCTAAGACGTCATCGATGCATACGAATACAAAATCTAAACCTTGTGTGACCTGATCCATGAAACGTTGGAAGGATTGTGCGGCGTTCTTTAGACCAAACGGCATGCGAAGAAATTCGAACAAACCAAAAGGTGTGATGATGGTTGTTTAATTCGATATCTTCTGGGGCAACTTGTATTTAATGATAGGCTCTGACCAAGTCTACTTTAGAGAAAATCGTTTTTCCATGTAATGTCAGGGAGAAATCGTGTAGGTGGGGAATCGGATAACGGTCCGGAACTGTGACGTTGTGTCGATAATTCCCACATACCCTCCAGTCATGCTCAGCTTTAGGCACCATGTGTAAGGGTGAAAACCATGGGCTATTGGAAGGTCTAACGATGCCGAGCTGCATCATGTGCTCGAATTCTGCCTTGGCTGCTGCTAATTTGTCAAGGGGTAATCTACGGGGACGAGTTCGAAGCGGTTGACCAGTGGTAACGATTTTGTGAGTGACTGTATGAGGTACGTCCTCGATGTTATACATGTACATGAGTAGTGCTACGGACCACCGTAGGGTAAGTCGGGATGTACAACTTTTGGGGTCGACCTTCTCTGAGGGAAACACCCTACTGCTGTTACATCCCTGTTCCCCAACAGTACGACTTCGCCCACAGACCCCCAGCATAGTGTAAAAACAAAATTCTTACACTATGCCGGTAACTGCTTTTAGTCTAATCTCGCTATCCTAACAACCTTCCTGGCATGTTAGGACCTGCAGGAACAATAGTTCCATCCAGCGTAGCTTGTTGGGTTATTGCGATATTTGCAAGCCTGAGACCATAACATCAAGGTAGCGGCTATCGGTCGGCACTTTATATAAAGGCAATTAATATGTGGATTGGGCAGAGTTTCTTAATACTCTATTAAGAATTCATTAAGGTCCTTCACTTCGCATTAATGAAATTTGTGAAATAGATAAATACTCTGAGGAGGTATTCACAGTAGAAGAAAAATGTTAAATTTTCTTAGTTGGGCAGTTATCTCCTATCATGTATTATGTGATAATTACTGCCACCATGAATGTAAGAGTTTGGAGTTTGATAAAGTGAAAACTACTGGTGAAAGTTAGAATTCATTGGTTACAGGATTTTCATCATGAGCTGACATTAGTTAGAGAACCATTGGAAAACCTGCGAGTACTGGACAGCTGTTTCGTCCTAGTTTGGGACCCTTCGTCAGTACGCACCCACCGGGATTCGAACCCAGGATCTTCTGGTTACAAGGGAGCTCGTATACCATTGAGCCACTGGGACCCGATCCAATGGCCCATGAATTCTAACTTCTGCCAATTCACGACATAGCGCGACCCCTTGCCAATGTCTTCGGCGAGTATTTGTCCTCACACCAGACCTGCTGCACCCTACTGGTCACGACTTCTCACTAGAACCCCAGGCTACTACCTACCTGAATAGGGCAAGTCGCTAGTGGTTCTCTAAATAGTGTCAGCTCATGATGAAAATCCTGTAACCAATCAAATCCCCTACAAACCAACACCTGAATAGAGTTCATTGGTTGGCAATTGAGTCGGGACCCAGTGGTTGAATAGTCTACGAGCTTCACACTTGTAACCGGAAGGTCATGAGCTCTAATCCCAAATTAGGCTGACGAAGCAGCTGTCCTGTGCTCCCTGGTTTTTCAATGGTTCTCTAACTGATATCAATCCGTGGTCAAATCCCTACAGAAACTAACTCTTGATGTCATATTGTGGTGAGAGCTGGCTGCAAGCCGAAATTGTAGACAACATTTTACGTCAATGTTCACGTCTCGAATCAGGGTTATGACGAAAACAATAACAAAGATTAACCAATCATAGCGTAGTTAAAGTGTGGAAATATGATTCGCAGATGTTTGGTCTGACCATCAAAGAAACGACCACAAAGGGATAACAGAATAACCTTCAGCAAGAAAACAACCAATCAGAAGAGGTTGCTTCTCTTTTAACAATAATGTACATAAAAATCCATAAATAACTCTTGATTTTCTCAATAGTCAATCTGTTTCCTGGCCCTTGTCTTCTGTCATTACAATATAATTATATTTGAGAAGTAAGGCGATTAGATATCCACCTGACAAGTGTAACGAACTTTGGAACATGGGGAAAAAGCTAGTAACATGCGCAAAACGCGTATGTAAGAGTGATAATAACAAATTATCTAAATAGAAGCAAATAAGTAGACTGGAGTTTACGATCGGGGTTAAGATAAGAGACTGAACAAACTTTTTCAGCACACAAAGTTATAGACTATATTAACGAATCGCTAACTCCTTTGCCATACTAAAGTGCCGAAACAAAACACTCGTCGTACCATTCGAATTGTTACTTGATAACCAGGTGCAATTCCATGCAGTTGGCAATCTGCCACACCTTTCATTTGAGAGTTAGTATTGCTACCTGGCTACTCAAACCTCAATAAGTGGGATTGAGGCTGAAACCTGTGACCCACTGGTTGAAAGGAAATTGAGCACTTCGACTAATGAACCACAACTCTACAACTTACCTTGTAGATGATTTTAAAACAAGACGCTGGTGGAGCTGTGTGTAGCTTGCGTGTTCACTGAGTGCCTGAGAATTGAACTGTTAACGGACTTGTGTTGTCGTCTTGAAATGGTCTTAGAAAGTGTGTTTCGTCCTATCAATATAACAAGCTTCACAGGAGCAAACGAATTGATAAACATACATGTTAAAGTGGACCAAAGCATCAGTTAGTCCTCCACATATATCCATTGATCGTTGTGTTGTACCACGCCCTCTAAAGATGACTCACTTGCTTAATTGCCTTTCATTAAATTTTATATATCAGTATAGCAAAAATATTCATTCAGACATCTATAAAACACAAAATAATTGAACAAAGAATATCCTTTTCGATAATTTCCTCCTCTGGCTCTACAATTATATATACATATGTTTATACACATAGAATATTCGAGAATAGTAGTCAATGACAATATCGGTGTGTTTAAAAAAAAATAATATCGATTTGTTAAGTAAGATCACAGTGGAATTCCAGTTCATTAAAGATGCTTAAATTATAATAGACGTAAAAATGTAATAGCAAGTAGAATATCAACTAAAATTAAAGAAATTTCTACAAAACGTTGAGTATCATTCGAACCTAGATGACCAGCGGGGTAAGGACAATGTCTGAACTGGCTTCTTCTTTTGGACACATAAATTAGGCTTCTTAATGTGGATCCCAACAGCCAGTCTCAGCAATATTTAGTAGACGAACTCTTAAGGCGAAGTTAAGATACGCGGTAAATGACTTTGAAAACTGCCTCGTTGACATCAATCTTGTATTCTGTATCCAAAAGATGAGATAGGATAGCGCTATGTGAATAGATTGTGTTTGTCCTTTACCTAACCACTATGTAGGGTGATGTCCAGAGCCAGTTACATAGGCTGTACAATTAGACTTTTCCGAACATCACCTTGTCATCTGCCTTACACCAACCAACAAATCTTAACATCGCTTTAAGAGTTCGACTACTACATAATGCTGAGACTGGCTATTGGGATCCACATTAAGAAGCCTAATTTATGTGTTCGAAAGAAGAAGCTAGTTCAGACATTGTCCTTGCCTTGGCCATCCAGGTTCGAATGATACTAAATTTTTTGTAGAAACTTCCTTATTTTAGTTCTTATTCTATTTGCTATTATATCTTTATTATTATTATAATTTAAGCATCTTTAATGAACTGGAATTCCATTGTGATCTTATTTAACGAATCGATATTATCAAAAGAATAGACACAGAACAAAGAGTACTCTTTTCGATAAACTCATCATCAGGTTCTACAATTATATATACATTATAATGAATGAATGAATTAGTCTTATGAACGACATTAATGCTGTTTAAATAACATCGAATCAGTAATATTGATAAATTACAGGTGAACAGCATCAACATAAAATAAACTGAATGTCAGAAGAATCAGGAAAGATAATAGTACAAATTCATGAGTTTATAGTTTCCACTGAGGGCCAGAGCAGTAGTAGTGTCTGGATGGACTTGCTTCTTCTGCACACAAATCACTGGTTGTTTAAGGCGAATCACCATAGCCTCTGCTGTTTGGAGCATGCTGTGCTTCGACGATTTTGGTAGTTTGTTAGGCACCCGGTATATTATAGAGAAGGATTCTTCCACGCTGGCTGGCTTTGTGACCTGTTTGGACCAGATGGTCTAATATCGAGCTGTTAATAGTTTAAACTACCCCTTTAGTTAGCTATACTAGGATATGTTCTCGAGCACGAAAAATCAAGTTCCTAGAGCAACAGCTGATATAACTCACTCCGCTACAAGCGCAGTTGAATTGATAAATACTATTTGAAGTGGCTAGTCTAGTCTAGGTACTTCATCTTTCAGTCGAGGTAGCACCATCGGTCGTGTAGAGAATAATACGTGTAGTTCGCCAGCATTAAAAGTTCTTTGAAGTGATTTTCTTAATTTCTTCGTAATTATCTCGCTTGATAAATCGCCTATGAATTGTAGTCGTATATATATATATATATTTAAAAAGCACACTGATATTGTTATTGACTACTAATCTAGAATATTCTATGTATATAAACATATATGTGTATATAATTGTAGAGCCAGAGAAGGAGGAAATTCTCGAAAAGGATATTTTTCTTTGCTGACTCAATTATTTTGTGTTTTTTATAATATCAGTTCCCCTTTTTACTCTTATTATTTCTTCAATTCAGTGTTTGTTTTTTCTTTTATTTCTCATGTATGCCATGCTTATGTGTAATTATTCTTTGACAGGATTACAATGTTCTTCTCAGTATATAACAGAGAATAAATTAGATGTTGTCTTGAGAAGAGCACATGAAGCACTGATCAATGATATAGTGAATACACAAAATTGGGCAATTCATGAACAACAGGTTAGAGTATTGTTATTATTACTATTATTATTATTATTATTATTATTATTATTATGTGATTCTTTTTCTTATTTATTTGTGTTTTCTTTTGTTAACTTTATTTGCACTTATCATTTTTCACCGTCAATCTGTTTTCATTTATTTTACTAACCACAGTTTTGTTTTTCGCCACGCTAGTGGAACATAGATCTTCAAGCTTTCAAGTCTTAGTAACACTGGGGATGACTATTTCATGGGGTGGTAGGATTGCTAACCTCATGTGTGGGGTAACCTTCCCTCTTTCCCCCGGGCTTACTGCCTACCGGCTAGCAGGAAACTAGACAAGGTTTAGCGACACGTCCGTCGGAAATTGAACTCTTTCCTCTCGTAGTGTTGCTAGGTGGGTATTCTTATATTAGACAATCAACGCACAGATAATAGCAGTAGTAGTGTAGTGAGTGCTACTTATAATCATATATAAGTAGTATATGAGTGAACAAGTTCAGAAAAGAAATAATATGCTTCGGATACTGGAAAAAGCAATCAAAGAACAGAACTGTGAGAAGAACGTTTTCCAAATTACTTCTCGGTTTGGCAAGTTGTTTGAAGTTGTTTGTCAAACCAAGGGAACAATGATATATATATATATATAATGTGCTAAGTAAAGACTCATGTTATGTAAACCCTTCTTTTTTCACTTCATCTTAGGATGCCCACGAACTGTTTGGTTTCATTATGGAACGTATCTGCAGTCTGGATAATAATTTTCTGAGTAAAACCTCTGCTAGACTGACAAGTGATCTTTTCAATTTCAGTCTTCCAAATGATAAAAGAGTGAGTCTATTGATTTTTGTTTTATTTCACTTGTAGAATACTCATCTCATTCATATCAATTGGCTGTAAATGATGAGTAAAGTTGGCGTTTAGTAGTGCTTAAGTTGTGTCTCAGTTTATTTAGTTAGTGGACACTACCTCTTAATGTAACATACGGAATTACGCAAGAGTTTTAAGTAGTTAGAAAAATAAGCATAGAAGCAAAAGTTAAGTCATATCAACAGAGTTGTTACCATGAGAGTAGAAGTGGTCAAATAATTTTCTTTTGTATGCATAGTTCTGAATGGCTAGGGCGTCTGCAATGCAAAGAACACGGAAACGTATTGTCTTTGACAGGTTGTTCTTCACTTTGTAGATTACTTTGAAGTAGGCGTTTGTTGAGATAGAATGACCAGTGGTGGCGAGATGTTCGATTATTGTACACCCTGAGCGCAACTCTTACATCAAACTATTCATGTTATTACGTAAGTCTTCTTTAACAATCGTTTGTGACAACTCATCACTTTTCTTACTACCCTCTTATATCAACATCCAATTCATCTGAACTTACTAATTGTATTTTCGTTTGACAAATTTAATGTAAACACACACACACACACACACACAAAACAACCATATGTATTTGTGATTGTACAGTTATGGAAATGAATTCGCCGGCGAAAAGAGACTCTTCGCTGAATTACTGTCGGTCTTCTGTCTATTAATGTTCGAATGGGGGATTTTTCATGCATACATGGAAGAGGCGATATTAGGCAGTTTGTCTTTATTTTGATGAACTAAGTATTGGTTGACTAGTGATAAACAGCATAATTCAGCTGCGTTAAAGGTTCTTGCGATAGGCTTTTCTCAGACGGGGTGTAATATGGCTTGTATTGTAAAATTTATATTTCTTTTCGATTAACAATGTTTGTTGTAGAATGTTCACCAACTAAACAAGTGATGGTTCGGGTTTCGATTCGCGGGCGACGTACTGATGAGCCTTGGCTAGCTGGTAGTAAGCCTGGCAAAGAGGGAAGGTTGAGCGTGAGGCTAGCAACCCCACTAGTCAGAAAAACACCGCCACTACCGGACCTTCAAAGGTCAAGCTTGAAGCCGTATGTTGTACTTGGGACCGAAAAGCATGAAAAAAACATATGATCGGTTTAACTTTGATGTGAAACGAGAGTTGTCTGCAAGACAAAATTTTAGACAACACTTGACGTCAATATTTATGTCCCAAATCGGGGTCGTGAGAACAAACAAGAACAAAGCCTAACTTTGAGGAACTCAACAACCAATCACATCAGACTTGGCGTGGGCGGATACGATTCGCATATACATGACCGGACTGTATAAGAAACGGCAACAAAGAGATGACAGAATAACTTTTAGCAGGAAAACAACCAATCAGAAGACGTTGCTTCTTTGCTAAAATAACGAATAATAATGTACATGAAAATCTATAAATATCTGTTGATTTTCTCCATAAAGGATCTTTTGCCTGGCCCTTGTCTTCTGTCGTTACATATATATGTATATATATTGGTGAGGAACTTATTATCATTATCAGAATACAAAACTACCCAGACCATCAGCCCGAAGCAAGATGGTTGTCTTAGGGAGTCACCCTAGAGTCTTTGATTTGAATTCTGATCCAGAAACGGCGGTCCTAGCTGCTGCTGGTGAGCAGAAACAGATTCAAACGCCATTTATTCATTTTGGATTCTGGAGCTGATGTACATCGGAGGTTAGGGATCAGAGTTTCTCAGCTTCCCTAGGTAAACCAGCATAATCCACCAGTCCGCCTGCATTTACCCTTTGATTTTTGTGAGGGACACACCTCGGCGCGTGAAGGCAGTGGGGTGAGTAGAACGTACGTCACCAATTGGACAGAGGTCTGTTCACCCTCGTCCATATCAAGTCGTCTTTAGTGAAGAGCCACTTTAAGAAGGAATATTGTATATCTCTTTGGCGCCAATTTTCTTGTGAGTACAAAATTTGTCCTTACAGATTATGATTAAATTTATTAATATTTTTTCTATCGTTTTTCTTTTTCTTTTTTTTGTTAACCAAAAATAAAAAGATAGTTCTCTGTCGTTCGTATTGTTCAGCTATTGAAAGTATAAAATTTCGTTCAGTTCTGTGTGATACATTTCCAACTCAAGTATTCGAGCAAACTCTGGTGGCTAGTCGTGTCACTTGTAATTCATGCAACTATCATAGTAAAGTGGTTATCCAGCCGGAAGCTTGTCTAACTGTATTTCTAAGTGAGTTGGCTTTTTATTTAAAAAAAAAATGATTAATCAAATACTGTAATATACTATTGATTTTATCAGGGTTCTTATCAAAGTGCTGCTCTTATTTATATTATTATGTAATCATTCTCAGAACTTGATATGATTATGAGCAATAGCTTGTGCTCGAAACGTCATCAGTAAATATTACTGTCTAACACTGTGAGACTCTATCAAAATAAAAATTTACCCATAATGGAATTCTCAGTTAATAGTTGAAGACAGTTCACTTTTCTACTTTTCTCAATTTTGTAGTGACGGACTTATTTCCAGTCTACTCTACTCTACTCGGGACTGTCTGCCTGTTTTCGACATAGAACTTTGCACAGATGTGCAGCAGTTTAAGTCGCTATACTCCCTCCTTGTAGCACACAAAGCAAGAAAAGAAATGCATAATAGAGACAGTAGACAGGGATATGAGACAAAAGGAATAGTAATATCGAAGAACATTATAGTTTTATTGGAAATTATAAGTCACAAGGCGTGGATGCATCTGCGCCGAGCCATTGAGAATGATTTTGAGCCATATCACCGATCGTCTCCAGCCATTGGTGTTTACCGTCCCGAGGATCCCAATCAGGAAGCTAGTCTACACCTTCCTACGTGACTGGCTTAAACTAACTGTTGTGGATTTCATTGACTGGTGCCATGTTTTGGTTTGACCACCGCTGGCTAGCTCTTTTCCAGCCTGACCCAATGTCACCTCACATTGACCTGACCAGAGAGGAAGGCGATGGCTAGGCATGTGCGTCGGTGGCACAGTGGTTAGGACTCTCGCCGACCATGCACATGGTCCGAGGTTCGATCCCCTGCCGACGCACACCTGATATCTATGGTCGGCCTGCGAAATTTGGGCTACCGATATCAAAGCTGAAAATTCCATACTTGTACTAAAAATACTGTGTGGCATCAAGCTGTAACCAAAAATATAAATATAATATATAAAAAAAATATATATATATATAAAATGTGTACGTAACACATGTCCTCGCATATGCTAGTTTACGACTTCTTTGGCTTAGTAAACGTCATATTTGGCTGGCTACCGACCAGAGGGCGCAGCAGTCCGCTCCGTCCTCCTTTATGGCTGGCTGTGAGACATGGCCATTGAAAGTGGAAAACATGGAAAGCCTGGCTAGCTAGTTGTCTTTGATCGTAGGTGCCTGCGTTCTATTTCCCGTGTGTGTTAAGTGGTATAATAAGATGAGTAGATATTTAAATTATACGTCTAATGCTAGGTAAGGAGGGCGAATCAATCGACGAGGCTGTGAAGCTACACCGACTGAGAGATAGTTAGGACATGTGTTACTTGACAAATTGGTGCAAAGTTCTGCGTTGAAACCAGTCGGTCTGTCATATGGGGTTCTCTGAGCTAGGTGGAACTATGGCACACAGCTGATTATCTCAACCTCAAACGAGCAAAACGGCAGCCCCGTGTTAAAATCATCGTGATCTAGCTAACTAGCAATTACTACTAGCTGATAATAAGTGGTATACAACAACTACTTATCTCAATAAATCAGTGGTATATATAGTTTTATGAAATACTCAAGACATATTTTGTCTTTTGTCTTGTTGCTTTGCCTTTTTTTTTGGGGGTGGGGGAGGAGGCTAAGGACTTCAAACATTGAGCTCTGAAACTTCACTAGCAGTGATGTTATTCTTTTTTTGATTACGAGGAGCGGTGTCGCTAGCCTCACGCTAAACCCTCCCTCTTCACTGGGCTTACTACCTGCCGCTCTGTTGTCAACCTACGTTACGCACGTAAATAGCTTTGGAGTGAATTGAGGAAAAGAAGAGGGGATCTCTTTGCTGATTCATGTGTTGTTCTTAATTACATGAAATGAGAATTTTGCAGACTGATAATCATCTATGACATTGGTTGGCAAGTCTCTCTGTACACTACACGAGTTGGTAGAAGTTAGAATCCATGGGTTATTATTGGATTTCGTCCCAGTAGCTGCTTGCCTTGTAGCCAGAAGATCTTTGGCTTCTATCTCCAGCAAGCAGTGGGATTATGTGTGTGCGAATTGATGAAGAGCCCTGAAATGGAACAAATTAGCTTTCCAGTGCTCCTTGATGGTGGTTATCAATGGTTCTCTAATTGAATTTTATCTAGTGATCAAACTTTGCCAACTTTTAAACTACCATAACAATTAATTTAAGAATTCCCATTGTAGCATTAAGAAGACAATATTCAGCGAAGACTCTTTTCCATAACGAATTTATTATCAACCTGTATATATATATATATATATATATATATGGTTTTTTTATGAAATTATATCTGGTGAGGGAATTAGGTCAAAGGTGTGAATACATGAAATAATAATAATAATAGTATGAAATGCAATTAAAATATTTGTGATTATAATCATAGTTAAGTATCAGGTAGCAAAACAATCAATGTCATATATGGAATAATGCATAAGGTATTTAGATATTGTTGGAAAGGGGTGCACAATTATAGGATTAGTAGGCGAATATAAAATATTACATAACATGGTCTGAAATCTGATAAGATAGAATTCAGTATTGTAAAAATAAAAATATAAAAATTAATAATTTTGGGTTTAAAATGTCAAGTGGGTCAAGTGGAAAAGATTCAGAGTGAGAATAGTAATAGTGGTAATAATAATAATCATAGTAATAAGGGAAAAGTACATTATTATTATTGTATCCTTTAATTCCTACAGGAACATAGGGCTTCAACCGTGCGTCTCCATTGCGTTCGGTTCTCTGCCACAGTCTTCACCTGGCTCCATGTCTGCCCACACGTTTTCATCTCCTCTTCACATGACCTCCTCCAAGTCACCCTTGCACTGACGACCAACTCGCCGCTTCCCTTTCGGGTTCCACTCGAGCAATGGCTTGTTTAGTGATGTCACTTGATGGTTTCCTCAGAGTATGGCCAGTCCACCTCCATTTCTTCCTGCCTATTTGTTTCACAATCGGTTCCTGCTGGGTTGGTTCGCTCATTGCCAGAGATCTCTGTTGCTGATCTTTTGTGGCCGGCCATCTGATCTTGAGTATTGAGCGAAGACAACTGCATATGAAGGTCTGTAGTTTGTTTGAGATGCTCTTTATGACGCGCAGTGCAAGTCTCTGATCCGTATAGTAGCACTGACTTCACATTGGAGTTGAAAATCCGGATCTTATTTTTGATGCTGAGTGCTGTTGACCTCCACACAGACTTGAGAGTAGTGAAAGCTTGTCTTGCTTTTCCGATCCTTGCTTTGATATCTTCGTCAGTTCCGCCTGTAGTTGAAACGATGCTTCCCAGGTAGGTATGTAAAGGAGGTTGTTTCTTTCAGGTTCCTCCCATTTATGCTGATTGTTGTCAGTTGTTGTTGTTGCTGTTGGCGGTGTTGCCCAGGAATCTTCATCACCTCTGTTTTGTCTATGTTCACCTGAAGTCCTATCTTCTCTGGATGCTTCTTCTGCCAACTTGTTGCTTTTCGCTTGCATGTCTTCCAGTTTGTGGGAAATCAGACATATATCATCGGCGAAGTCCAGATCCTCCAAGTTTTTTGTGTGTGTCCATTTTATGCCTGTTTCCTCATTCCCCACTGTCTGTCGCATTATCCAGTCTACTGCAATCAAGAAAATCATTGGCGATAGTAGGCAGTCTTGTCTTACTCCTGTCGTCACTTCGAAGGGTTCCGTGAGTTTCCCGTACATAAGAGAAAAGTACATAGAATAACTAAATAAACAAAATAAATAAATAAATGTCTATCCCTCTAAATAGGGATTGTACATACTTCTTTTGTACGCAAAGGTCTGGCTGGCTTAAAGTCATGAATTGCCAAGGCTTCAGCTGTCTTTAGAAGTCTGTAACGAAGAAAACGCCGCCAGCAAGTTAGCATGGATTCCGTAGATGATCTTAAAATCATGGTCAGGGTTGACATAGTGACAGAAATCGATCAGGTGTTCCAGAATACAGCTTCTCACACACTTCCTTTCTCCCTTGTAAAACCAAGTGACTGGAATATGTTCTCGTATCCGTGTGGAAAGCGTCCTCTGACTACGGCCAATGTACCTTGCTCCACAAGACTAAGTGAACTGATAGATGCACATGTAGGCAGCCAGACGGGGAAGCTTATCTTTAACAGAGGTAGAGAACAACTTGCAGCTAGTGAACGTCGTATGTAATTTTACTGTAAAGAACGTCTTACTGACTGATTTAGAGAGACGGTTGTTTCTGAGCATATCTGAAGCTTGATCACCTTTAAATTCCAAGTTCATTGAATAAGGTTTTCTTTAGAACTGAGTCGGTGACCAGTTTAGACTGCTTATCTTCTTTCATGTTGCTGTCGATAAATCGGTTAGGGTAACCGTTTTCCAAAATCTATACACCTTATGTATTAATCTATATATGGCATTAATTATTTTGCCACTTGACATTTAACTATGATTATAATTACAAATATTTTAATTGCATTTCATACTACTATTATTATTTTATGCATTCACACGTTTGATCTAATTCCCTAACTGGATATAACTTCTTAGAAAGGTCATATATAGATACGATTGTGCAGCTTGATAATAAATTCGTTGTTGGAGAGAGTCTCTTCGCTGAATATTGTGTTCTTAACAATAATAATTAACATACCAAAATTGGAAAGTAATACAGTGAAAATATTTTTCAGTGGAGGGAGGCAAGGTGTGCTACTAAAGGAATTTATGACGCCAGTATTTGACAGGTGAATTAAATGATAATGACTGACTCATTGTTTCTTATTTCAGTGAATACGCATAGCTACTAATTACATTTGATTGTATATTGTGTGTAGTGTAGCAGCTTTATATTACAATTGTGGTTTATTCCCTCTGCATGACGCTATACACCACTGATTGATTGATCGATTGATTCGGCCAGGTTAAACTTTAAGCACCACTGACAACTACCAACGGAGTGCGACCGCACCAATGACTACGATGAAACGTTCACTGAGCGAGTTAGTTAGTGAAATCCGGCAAATAATTTTGTCATCATCAATCAAAAATATGCCAATCGAAGTGTTATGTTATTAAATGGGATATATGGCAAGTTTCAGCTTCGGTTTGAGAAATATCAAGTTACGCTGTAAGCTAAGGACAAGTTAGGTTTAGGTTGACCTAACAAAGGCGACATTAGGTTTGATTCGAGTTAGTTTAGGGATATTTTCACGTTAGGGTTAGAAGACCTAAATAATTACATGCATAGAATGTGGTTAAATTACTCTGTTGATATAAGAATGAAACTTGTGCACTGTGGAGGTAGAGTATAATTCCATTGCGGGTAAAATTTGTTTTGATAAAGTCTCAGGGTGTTATACAGTAGTAATATTTACTAATGACCGAGTTTCGAGCACAATTTATTGCTCAGGAAATATTACTAAATAACATTATGAATTTTTGTCAAAATTAATTTTACCCACAATCGAATTATACTCTGTTGATACTCCAACCGAAAACTGAGAGCTATTTTTATCACATGTGAGAGCAAGGTATCCTCTGTAACACTTTTCTATAGTTGTTATGCATTTCTTTCATAAATATATGTATTCCATACACAAAAGTGCCTCCTTCACGTGATTGGTGCGTCCAAGGTCATTCGCTGATTGGTGGTAGATAGTGGTACTTAAAGTTTAACTTTGCCATTTCTTCGTATGAGTTATCGGATACTACGCATAGTAATGAAATTGACTCTAACTGATTTCAGTGACTCAGGGACTGACTTGTGACCAGGGAATAGTCTGGTTGACTTAGAATACGCAGATGATATAGTCATCTTTAGATGAAGACCCGAATAAAATGTAGAATTCCATTATGGCTAAAATTTATTTTGATAAAGTCTCACAGTGTTATACAGTAGTAATATTTACTGATGACCACGTTTCGAGCACAATTTATTGCCCAGTAAATATTACTGCATAACTCTATGAGACTTTATCAAAATAAATTATACCCACAATGGAATTATACTCTACCATCACAGTGCACAAGTTTTATTCTTATATCAATACAATATAAAGTGTTCTGAATACCTTGAGGGGCAGAAATCTTTGGATGTTTGTCACGAAGTTTGCTTCTATAAAATGTAAGATGATGCTACAAGAATGGATTATATACACTTGTAGCTTAAAGGTAGGGAGTGATGTAGTGGAGCATGCTGACCACTTCACTTATTTGGGAAGGTACATCATCAGCCTCAACGAACTGGTTGCCGATGAAATCTTATCATGGATAAGAAAAGACTGGTGGTGTGTTGTCGTTTGCCAACTTTCATTATCTCCGGTTATCGATCAAAGGACATGCGTACTGAGCAGCGATTCACCATGTCCTCCTTTATGACTGTGGGTGAGACATGGCCATTGAAAGTGGAAGACATGAAAAGCCTGGTTAGCTAATTGTCTTTGATCATAAATGTTTGCGTTGTATCTTGTGTATTAAGTGATATAATATTGTGATTAATACTGCGGTTAGTTATCGAGTGTTAGGTAAGACGGGAAAGTTAATTGACGAGGTTATGAAGCTACACCGACTGAGAGGTGGTTAAGACATGTGTTACACATGCCTAGGAATAAAATTTGTGAGCCGCATAGGGGGAGTCCTCGGGATTCTAAGAACCAATGGCCCCAGACTATTGGTGATATATTTAATTGAATTTTAGATTTTCTCGTCGATTGCGAAATATATTACAGAGGAGACAGGAAATAAAATTCACGTTAACAGATCTTTTCAACCTATTTTTTCTTAAATGTCTAACCATAAATTTGTTTAAATTCATATTTTTCTATTTTGTTATAATTATCTGATTTGTTTAATTATAGAGAATCCTAACAGTACAACTCCAGCATCATCATCATCGTCATCAGCAGCCAGTAATAAAAAATTACAAAATCAACAATTAAACACTACGACGACGACGACCTCAGTGATGAAAGTAATCGATCTTGTTGAATGTCTTGATGCTCAATCAGCAACAGTTGAACCCTTACCTGATATGAAATGTCCTAATTGTTTAAAAAAGCCTCCTCCACCTCCTCCTGCTACAACATCAAAGGTCTCTTCTGCTGTTGCCTCATCAAATTATTGTCAACGTGAACAATGGATAACGCATACACCAAAGTATTTAGTCCTGTATATACAAAGAAGTGATTGGTTGAATATAAACACCACTACAACAACACCGTTTCCAGTGAATGGTTTTTGTCAATTCAATCGAAATCCTTCATCAACTTTTAGTAGTACTAGTAGTAGTGGTAGTACTGCTAGAATTGCAACTAAGCGGTCAGAATGTGTGCATATTCCTGAATATTTAAATATGGCACCATATTTAATGCTAAATGGAGGAGTAGTGTCAAAGCAATCTCCGGCATCATTGCAAGTTATAAATTCACATGGTGATAACACTGTTGACCCTTTTTCATCGTTCAATAATAGAAAATTATCACAGAAAGAGTAAGTTTTGAGTAGGTTTTGAATTATTGATTTTGAGTTGATTACTTATTATTATAATAGTGTGATTCGGAATTCATATTTTCTTTGAATTAATTTTATAGTATTATTATTATTGTTCCCTTGGGTTCCGAGTGGAACATAGGGCTGGCTTCAACAGCACATCTACACTTTACAGGATTTTCACCATGAGCTGACATTAGTTAGAGGACCATTGGAAAACCTGGGAGTACTGGACAGCTGTTTCGTCCTAGTTTGTGACTCTTCATCAGCCACCGGGATTCGAACCCAGGACCGTCTGGTTACAAGGCTAGCGAGCTATCTCGTATACCATTAAGCCACTGGGACCCGATCCAATGGCCAGCCCATGAATTCTAACTTCTGCCAATTCACGACATAGCGCGACCCCTAGCCAATGTCTTCGGCGAGTATTTGTCCTCACACCCGACCTGCTGCACCCTACTGGTCACGACTTCTCACTAAAACCCCAGGTAAATACCTACCTGAATAGAGCAAGTTGCTAGTGAGCCATCCTTTTCAGCTGGGTCCACGATTGACCATAATCTCTCGTCTCCTCCATGTCACCCTCGCATCGACCACCCACTCGTCGCTTCTCATCTGGGTTCCTCTCGAGCAATGGCCTGCATTGCGTGCAATGTAATTCGACGGTTTCTTCAGTGTGTGCCCGATCCATCTCCATTTTCTTCTACATATTTGTTGAGTGATTGGCTCTCGCCTGTTGGTTTGTTCCCATAGTTTCTTGTCACTGATTCTTTATGACCAGCCATTTGATCTTCAGTATGGAGCGAAGGTAGCTGTTGATGAAAGTCTGCATGCAACCTGTTGGAAATCCTTTTCGCGCCACCCGTAAAGAACGACCGACTTGACATTGGTGTTGAAAGTCCGAATCTTGTAGTTTTTGCTGGCTAGCCGAGGGACAACAGAAGATTTCCAAATTGGTTTCAGGCTGATGAAGGCGTATCTCATCTTTCCGATTCTGACTGGTTTCGACATCTTCATCCGTTCCGCGTGCCTGTAGTTTTGAAACGATGCTGCTGGCTGCTTGGATAAGTGAAGTAAGGAAGTAACTTGTGTCAAATCTCTCCTGTTGATGGTGATTGGTGCCAGTTGTTGTTGTTGGCTGGTTGGTTATCTTCATCACCTCCGTCTTCTCTATGTTCACCTGCAGACTTCTGTCCTCGCTGCCTGCCAGACTCTTCAGCCAGTTTGTTGGTTTTCGCCTACAAGTCTTCCGGTTTGTGTCACATTAGATGTATATGAGTATTACAAGGTATTGATATGAGGATAAAGCCATATACTGCTCATTAATTGGAATGACTACTTGGGTACAATTCATATCAACCAGTAATGCTTACTAGCTAGCCAGCCAGATCGAGGTAATCCAAACACCAGATCGAGCTTATCAGTAGTGTACCATGGTTTGAGTCGAGTCACTTCAAACCGAACGATTGATTTCTCGCCTGGTCAGCTAATTGGATGAACTTGTCATGCCATAAATCAGATTCATAATTAGCGGAATTGGTTAACAGTTTGCAACACCTCAACATTTCAAGTGTTGCTGATGACCTCGGCACCAAAACGGGTGAAACGGCCATCCGGTGTTGGGTTACCCTGATCTGGCTAGCTAACTAGCTAGCAAGCACTGCTGGTCGGTATGAGTGAGATGCTCAAAATCGTCGTTCTCAATGGCTGGTGCAGATGCATCCAATCCTTGTGACTTGTCATATCCAATAAAACTATATTGTTCTTCGATTTTCCTATTCCTTTTGTCTCATATCTCTGTTTACTGCCTCTATGTTGCATTTCCTTTTAATTCTCTTGCTTTGTGTGCTACATGGAGTATGGCGATACGAACTGCTACACATTGGTGCAAAGTCCTATGTTGAAACCAGTCAGTTAGTCTGATTGACTGAGATGTCTGTCTGTCTGGTTTCAACATAGAACTGTGCAGCAGTTCAAGTCGCCACACTCCATGTAGCACACAAAGGAAGAGAAGTAAGTGAAGAGATGCAAGATAGAGATAGAGTAAACAGATATACAAGGCGAAAAGAATGGTAATATTCAAGAAATTATAAGTGGTTGCATCTGAGCCACCCGTTGGGAATAATTTTGAGCTATATCACCAATTGCCTCCAGTCTTCATTGGTTATAACCATCCCGAGAACCCCAACCAGTCAAGAAGTCTATACCTCTCACCCCGCAACTCAAACTAACTGTTGTGGATTTCATTGACTGATGAGACCATGTTTTGGTTTGACCACCATTGGCTTTTTTCCAACCTGATCTATCCTATGTCATTCACTTAACATTGGTCATCGAAGAAGGCGGTGGTTAGACATGCGTAACACATCTCCTAACTATCTCAATCGGTGTAACTTCACATCCTCACATTCATTGATTTCCCCTCGACTGATGTCTAACTTCGATATTGCTCACCTTATTATACCACTTCACACATGAGACAGAACGCAGACACCTATGAGGTAAGAATGGTTGACCCCGAGGAGATGAGCAATTTAGAAAAAAGCTCACCGATTGCACTGTATGCATGCATTGGCACACAATAGGGTGGGTGGGAGAGGGTTAAAATTCTAAAAAGTAATCTGTGTAGGTGGAGAGAGAGATTGATTACTGAATCCTGGTTCATCGAGTCTACACCCAACACATGCAACAAAAATGACTCATCACTCATATCGGAAATACGGAAAATACTACTACCAATCAAGTCAAGCGATGAAAAATAATGATGGAATTATATAAACGAAGTTAGAAAGTTTTGTGAGTAGTGTCTTGATATTGATTATGAGTGGCAGTAATAAATTGTGTTCGAAACGTGGTCATCAGTAAATATGACAGTAAAGCACTGTGAGACTTTATCAAAATAAATTTTACACATAATGGAACTAACCAAATTACTTATTTCAGTGCATCTTAACTTTCTCACAGAGGTATCAGTTGAGCAAATGTGTTGATTCCCACTATTTTACTTGCTTACTACATTGATCACCTACCTTAATCATTACAGAAATGTCAGTTAACCTATTTTTCTTAATTCCTTCACGTTCTCAGGGGAACATAGGGCTTCAAGCTAGAGGCTTGAAGTTTCTGTAGCCGTGTTTACTTCTACAGGATGAGGTTGCTAGCCTCATGCCCAACCTTTCCTCTTTACCAGCTTTTTATTACTGGCTTACCGAGGTAAAGGAGCGCGTCGGCCGGGGATCGAACCCCGGACCATGTGCATGGTCGGCGAGCGTCCTAACCACTGTGCTACCGACGCACCAGTTAACCTATGGAACACTCATTTCTCACAAATTTTTGCAAATATATTCTCTAATATTATTTGTAATAATAATTTTCTGTTTTTTTTGCTATTATACAGTTATTTGAAACCATACATTCTGCGTTCAGTTATTGTTCATGAAGGTGCATTTCTTCAATGTGGACATTATATCACTTATCGTAAATGGCAAACACCTCAAACATTTTATAGCAATCTACAAAGACACTATTGGTTAATTCGTGTTATAACCACTTTATATGAATGTATTACAAATTATTTCCGTGGAATATCAAATCCCTTTCATCATCGCCATCAAGTGTCTAATTCACCGTGGATATTGACATCAGATTCACATGTAATGCGTGTACCATTTAAACAAGTCCAATCAAGTCCTGCTTATCTAGTATTCTATGAACGTTTATCATCATCATACAATCATCATTTCAATGATATACAATCGATAATGAACAGTACAGATCATACACTATCACCGGTACCGCCACCGCCAACGCTAACACCATCACCACTACTAATCGATACAGCAACTATTATGGATAATTATACTGAAGAAGAAATAAGCAGTGAAGATGAAAGCTATCCGTGTAGTTCAACGTTAAATTGTCATTCTCGACATAGGCAGTTATCGAAAGCAGATATTATTAAAGCTTATGCATCATATGCTTCAACTTTTCAAATGTATGATAAATCATGTGATGTACTTTACTTTTATCGTATTTTGTTTTTTGTGTGTGGAGTGATGAGATGTAGTCATCTTATATAGTAGAACTAAGTCGATTCAGATTACGCCACTCTTACAAAGAGTTTTAGAGAGTGTAACTGTCATCAACGAGTTAAACGTTATCAGGCTCCTTCGTTCAGTCTTATGTAGTAGTAGTACTAAGGTTAAGGTAAGAAGAAAGTAACAATCCCCTTCTCAGGCGTGAGGCTAGCAACCCCACCCTGTAAACAAAGCTGCTACAGAAACTTCAGCACGATGAATCTCCTTGCGCCGAGAGAAAAAGTCTGTGTGGGGACATGGAATGTCCGCACCATGTACGTACGAGATTGGCAAAGCTGCCCAGATCGCAAACGAAATGAAAAGATACGGAATTCAATTACTGAGGGAGGATTTGTGAAAGCAGATGGAACAGGAATGGACTCACCAAATTGTCAATGGGTGAGTCAGTGATCTACTCCGGTCACCCAGAGGATAACCACATGCACACCGCAGGCGTGGCTATCATCATGATATCACCAACGGCAACGAAGGCTCTGAGGAAACCATCAAGTGACATCACTAGACAAGCCATTGCTCGAGTGGAACCCGAAAGGGAAGCGGCGAGTTGGTCGTCAGTGCAAGGGTGACATGGAGGAGGAGGTCATGTGAAGAGGAGATGAAAACGTGTTGGCAGACTTGGAGCCAGGTGAAGACTAGCAGAGAACTGAACGCAATGGAGGCGTTCGCGGCTGAAGCTCTATGTTCCTCTAGGAATTAAAGGAAACAATAATAAGAAGGAAAACTCAATCGATTGGGGTGTTGTTCCACTTGTTGAGATGTACATGTTACGCACGCCAAATCACTGCCATCGTCGACGGTGAATATTAACTGAAAGAGGACTAGGTTGGAGAAGAGTTATAGGTAACCTAACACAGATATAACAGCAATGCACAAAGTCATAAACTGTGTTAGTACAGCGGGTGGTTGTAGATGATCTGTCTGGAGAGTACTCAGAGCGTTACGATTGAGTAGTTGGCGATTATTCATCGAACGGTTCTGACTATTCTTCCGCATATACATCTTCGTCTACTGTGGTTTCATTACACTTATTTTCCCTACTTCTATGTGCTTTTTCGAAGCGTGGTGACACATGGACTATTGTGAAGTTTTGAGAAGTTCTACGTCATTGGGTTGGTCACAATCAGTCCTTTATTTATTTATTAAACAGGACAGGAATATGAATATGGAGATTGATGAAATATTTCACTTGTATTAAAACCATTCCGAGCACAACTGGAGTCACCGTCAAAGAACTGTGATGTTGTAATACACCTTGGGAAGTATTATCGATATTCTTAGTGTTGATTTGTAGTTCCCTACCGACGAACCGACAACGGTCGTTGTCTTCTACAGTTCTGTTTAGGTAATCATCTGTTCGTAGTCACTACTAACTTCAGGCACAAAGAGAGACATTGCCTAACCTGGACTCAAAATGACCACATGGCGATAGGCTATCGTTGGTGAGGGTAAGCAGAAGACTGGCACTCCTTCTGGAACACGTGCATAGACTCCGGTCACGCCCTGGTTCGCGCACTTTTATGCTTACGATTAAACGGACATAAAAAAAATGTTGACAGTTAAGCCGTCACACCCTCAACTAGATCAAGACACTGAGTCCCCGTTTAAAGAAATAGCGAAACTAGCTCTGGATATGATGAAGAACGAAAGCTGCTCAAACGCAAGCTAACCAGAAGTCTTCACAACGACCGTGGTAGGCGAGAGGTGAAAGAGATGGAAAAGGCATCGGCGATAGGTAACACCAGACAGCTATTTAGACTTATCAGGGAAACACGTGGCAAAGGGTAAATTATAAGTGAAGCAATCTCCGAGGAAAATGGCACCATAATTAGCTCTTAGGATGGACGACTGGAAAGTTGGAAATAAAACTTCGAGGAGCAATTTATTCGGCCTACAGCCACGTTCAACTTACCGAAAACCTAACACCTCCCCAAGTGGGATATAAACACAGGTCCTTCGTTCGTAACTGGAGATAAAAAAGCGGTGACTAATCTGAAACCAGGCACAGCAGCGAGACCTGATGGAATGACTCCAGAGGTATTTAAGGATGGCGCAAACAGTTTACTGTCTTCGTTAACTAAGGTATTACGCAGCGTCTGAGAATCAGAGGAAGTCCCGTCGGGTTGGTGTGAGTCATTGATTATCCCGATACACACAAGTAGATTAGCTTGACCGATATGGTATCCAGAGTTCTAGGCTCAATCACTATGCGTAGACGTTGAAGTGCACGGGAGGAACACACGAGAGAACCAGACAGGCTTTAGACTAGGAAGAAGGTGTATTGATCACATCTTCACCCTTCGACAGATTCTGTTACATAGACATACTTACCGTCGGCTCGCAGCAATCGTTATATTTCTGGATCTGAAAGTGGCATTTGAATCTCTCAACCAAGGGGTACTATGGCGATGTTTGGCTGTGAAGAGAATGCCGAAGAAATACGTTGCACTGATTAAGACACTCTACTCGAACTCATGCAGCAAGGTGATAGTCTACGCAGAATTCTCATCTGAAATGGAGTCCATCAGGGATGCCTACTTTTCCCCGTTTCTCTTTAATTTTATCATAGATATATGTGCTAATGGACTTAACCCTAACTGACTTCATGGAATTACTTGATACTACCGGGAAATAATCTCGTTGACTTAGAATATGCAGATCATACAATCCTTCTAGGTGAAGACGCTGACAAAGTAGAGCAGTCTTCTGAACATCTTGAGCTGCAATCTTCAAATGTTTGGAATGCGATTCGCTCCTGCTGTCATACTGCAGGACTGGACTACATCGACTTACTCCTAGCCTAGAGATAGGGGTTGATGGGGCGTGTTGACCACTTCACTTATTTGGGAAATTGTATCAGCCAACGCTAGAGGGTTGATCATTGACGATATCTCAGCATAGATACAGAAGGCTCGTTTGGCATTGGCCAACTCACGCCATCTCTGGCTGAGTAGACGTCATATGTGGCTGCCGATGAAAGGAAGTGTGTGCTGAGCAGCAGTTCGCCCAGTCCTTCTTTACGGCTGGTCGTGAATGATGGCCATTGAAAGTGGGAGATATGAAAAGCCTGGCTATCTAGCTGTCTTTGATCATAGGTATCTGCGTCCTATTTCCTGCGTGTGTTAAGTGGTATAACAAGATGAGCAACATTGAGGTTAGACATCGGTCGAGTGCTAGGTAAAGAGGGGAAATCCATCAATGTGAGGATGTGGAGCCATCGCCTTCCTCGATGGTCAGGTCAATGTGAGGTGACATGGGGTCAGGCTGGAAAAGAACTAACCAGAGGCGGTCAAACCAAATCGTGGCTTCATCAGTTAATGAAATCCATAACAGTTAGTTTAAGGCAACCACTTAGGGAGGTGTTGAGCTCCTGACTGGTTGACGTCCTAGGGATGGAAAAAAGCAATGCTGGCTGGAGACAATAGGTGATATTGTTCAAAGTCGTTCTGAATGGCGCAGACGTACTCACTGTTTGTGGCTTGTCATATCCAATAAAACTTTATTGTTCTCTCATATTACTATCCTTTTTGCCTCACACTTCTGTTTATATCTGTTTAAAATCTCTTCTCTTGCTTTGTGGACTGTATGGAGAGTGCAACTCGAACTACTGAACATCTATGTGAATTCCTATGTTGAAACCAGTCAGTCAGTGTGTTAGGCTATTCGTCCATATTAATCATAAAAGGTGTACATATCTTTGCTAAGCTGGAGCGAAAAGCGTTCTATGTATACAGGCGGAAACTGTTAAATATTTAACTTGGATACCGGCACATACACATTTCTAGCATAGGTGTGATCAACTTATTGTTGGGATCCCCAATCATCGTATAGTTAAACCACTGATCTTTGGAGAGAACATCTAGCGATTTCACCCCACCCCAAAAGTATGGTGGAGGTATGTAGATGACACATTCACTGTACTTAAAACACAAGATATAGATAGGTTTTTCGAACACATCAACTCGAAGGTTGAAGCAATTCAATTCACTTATGAATAGGAAAATCAGGAAGGGGAGATCCCAATGTTAGATTGCAACGTAAAAAGGAAAGAAGATGGGAAGTTTAACACACTAGTGTTTACAGGAAACCCACACACTCCAACAGATATTTAGACTTCCGATCATCCCATCCTATGTCAGTGTAAATAGGATTGGTGAAATGTTTAAATGACAGAGCACAAAAACTAAGTAGTACCAAGGAAAATCTAAGATAGGAAGTGAGACATATAAGAGATGCCTTGAAACTTAATAATTACCCGGATAAATTAGTCAGGAAATATGTAGGGAAATGTAAAAATAAAATAAATAATGATACTAGCGATAGTGATAATAACATTAATATTAATGACGACACCAACAATAAGGAATCTAAATCATCAGTAGCAATCCCATACAAGGAAGGAACCTCGGGAGCCTTACGCAGAATTCTTAACAAGGCAGGAATAAAAGTGGTATTCAGACCCACAAACTCAATTAGAAACAAGCTTTGTCGGTTAAATGGCGGATCCTGTAGAGCCTTTAAAACAATACCCTACCAGAATGATTGTCAGGTCAAATACATAGGTCAAACTAGCAGAATAGGGGCAGTCAGACTAGCTGAACATAAAAACTTAGCAAAATCTAGATTGGTTGATCCAAATAGGATAAGAAATCTAGAGAATAGTTCAGCTATAGCACTACATGCAGTTACACACAAACATGCGATATGTTGGGATAGGATGACAGTTTTAAAATCTAATGTCACATGGTATAGGGAGAGATTGATAATAGAAACTTTGTTTATCGAATCAACTCCAAATACATGTAATAGGAATGATTCAACATCTGTCTCAGATATCTGGAAAATTCTACTACCCCTACGACAAATAGGAGAAAACTATAAAACTCAAGTTTCAAAGTCGTGTGATTACAATTGATATGATTATGAACAATAAAATTTGTTCGAAACGTCATTCAGTAAATAATACTGTTTCACTGTGTGATATACCTAATAAACAAACTAATATGTAATTATCTAGTGATTTCGTCTGGTTTATCTATGTGACATAACAGAGAATAATAACAATACAAGTAAAACAGTATTTTTTTACTCTCTAGGGCAAGCAACAGCTTTGATTTAGCAGTCAGTCTAAATCATATCTACTTCGTAAGGCACCTAGAAAAAGACTAACGATCTAAAATACTCATACAGTACTTCACACCTTAATTTAAAAAAAACAATGGGTTATTCATTTTAGGGGTAAAACAGTATTTCATGGTGACAACATGCATAAAATAATAATCCGCCCCTAAATGACTTTGTACTGATTGAAGACAATCCGTGAAACTGTATTTCTAAGATTTCGAAGAGTAGTCGACAATGAACAACATAAAATATGATACAACAGATGCGTATCAGTAGATTGTGACTTGTCCCTCCCGGTAGGGCTTTGTGTATACAGTGCGTTCCAAGGAAAATCTAAGGTTAAATCGTCTAATCCCAGCAAACAACAGTGACATGCCTTGCACCTAAACAGTCATGCTACAAATGAGGTAAAACTTCAACGAAAAACCCTTTCACTGGTCAACACCAACCCAACGACTCAGTTGGAAGGCGTGTTTAGGCAAGTAATGAGGGCTTGTCTAAAGATAAAACAAAATCATTTATTATTAGTGAATTAAAGTAATGCAAACAATTGAGACTAAAATCACAATCTTGATAATATTATGCATGTTCATATGGTCCACATGACCCTTTTAATTTCAACAGAGAGAAAGAAACTACGATGAGGCTGCTTTGTTATAGCCAAAGTTCACATGAACAACTGGTTTCACGTCCAAAACTGTGGAAAGCAGTAATTTCAAGGCTGCATCCTTATTGGAGAGGAAAGAACGTTGGATTGCGTTCAGTTGCTCGGTCGTCATTTGACGACACACCTCTTCATATGGTCCAAGTTGTGAGTTCATCTGTCAGAGGTGATTACTTCAGCGCTAACTTTATACCTGTAACTCGAGAGAATTATAGTGAGCTTCTTGTTGTGCTTTAAATGCCTCTACTTCAACGTTTGCTTCGCCTTTGGCGTCCTTCAGACGTTTTGCTCTCCCTTTTTGTGTCAAATTAACTTTTTTTGAGGAGCTTACTGTTTCGGGCCTCTTCAATCTTGGCTAGAGCAGCAGTACGAGCTTGCTGAAGCTTTGTTACTCCCTCACTTTGTGCTGCTACTGCCGACATCCTGAAGTACTGTATACAATCGAAAACGGCGCTATGGTTTAACTCGAAGATTGAAATAACTGTCCTTCAATCATGTTACTACCCATGGCAAGGACATTGCGACCCAACACATTATCCGAAAATCTCAAACACATTTATAGGGACTAGCTTTATATCTGTCTGAGTTTCCAGAAGGGAAGCTTGGACACGCATATTAGTTAGGTAACAGAAAACTGTGATCTGTAAGTACAGTCTTTTAACCATTTATGAATACACTTTATTAGCTGAACACTGTCATTTGACACTTGGCCAATATGTTCAGTTAATACAGTTTGGGATGTTTCAGTCTAGCGTGTTGTGTCTGAAGGCCTCTCCACTTTTCTTTCGCCGTATCTCTAAAGATGTGCCTCTGGCATTTTTAAGGTAACATAAATAGAGGGTCAAGTTTCACTGTCTTGGCATCTGAGGATAATGAGGCTCGATTAACTTTTCACGAAATGTGAATGAACTCGTCCGAGTAGGTTGTTTTGGAAGCGGTCAACAATAACAAACTGTTGCCTGAAAAATGAATGTAGAAAGGTGTTCCCGCTGTCATATATTCACGAATGGATTTTAGTTACCGAAACTATGTCTTAACCACTTCAAGCGGACACTGCTTACTTCTTGGCCACTTCACTTTTCCGATCCATTGGTGTGAAGTCACACTAAAACATTGTTTTTACCAGCTGGTGTAAGCCGAAATGATTTCTTTGTGCCTGCTTCTTGGTCCCTGGTCTTCGGTAAGCCTCTGCGTAGTTCATACCGCCACTCGGCTGTCATAGCTTTGTTCGACTCCAAAATATTGGTTCTGGGAGTGTTTATTTGGTATTTGCTGCATGCTGTGATCTAAGACGGTATCACTAATGTGAATGGAGCTGATCCTTTTGTCCGTTACTCATCCGCTGTAGTCAAGACGAAGATTACAATAGCAACAGATATAAATTGGGCAGATTTTGTGGACTTAAAAATATAAAACAGGAAAACAGCTAATGAAATTTGAAATACATATATATATGAATAGACAGAGTAGTCAGGAAAGTAAGACAAGCGAGAATGTGAAGTAAAGTAAAGTGTATACCTATTGGTGGTGTGTGAATTTTACGGGGACAAGAAGTTTGGACTCAGTTCTTGTGTAGCTGCATAATTGTCCAGTCTACACTTAAAGCTTTCCATTGACGTCACAGTAGACACATCTGCCAGAAAAGAGTTCCAGATGCTGAGAAGTCGAAGTGAAAAGAAATGGGAGCATACTCGAGTCGTTGCTCTTTGGAGACCTATCCTTCGTGGATCACCACGAGGAAGTCCATGCATACTTAAGTGAGAAGTGCCTTTGTTTGGGTGATTCTCGTCATTTGTATGCTTACAAGCAGTAACTAAGTCACCTGAGGACCGATGATAGCTAAGCCTGAAAATACTAGTTTCTTCAGCCGTTCATTATATGGTTCATCTCGGAAACACATCACATCTTTTTTCGACCGTCTTTGGACTCTTTGGAAACCGTTAGAGGGATACATCGATGTAGTGCACTTCAGGGTGTGGTCTTACGTCTGTTTCTTACAACCTTAGAAAGAGTTCAGGAGTGATCGCACCGCATGCTCCCTCGCTGCATCGTCCGTGTAATCCAAACTTGCGTCCATTTTCCCGTTAGAATTAGACCTGAATTGACAGCATTAACTGTAGAGGGTCTTTCTAGGGTCTCCCTTATTTGTCTTTCCTATTCGTCACACTATAAATTGTGGTGGTTTCAGGCATAGGAAAGAATTCCATTAAGGCACTTGTTGGTGAGAGTTACAGTTAAAAATAGTCTGTCGTAGCCGTATGATCCTTCACAGTGTGAAGAGACTGCACTACAACTAACTCTCGTTGTCGTAAATAGAGGGGTGCTTTTTAGAGTAGAAGTATAAATAGACCATCCTCTACTCATATATTTAGGGGACGAGGGATCTGTTGGCTTTTACGTGAAGGTACGACGTATACTAACATAAATGATCTGCTGACCGAAAAAGTCGAAAGCGTTCACAGATTTCTCACGAAAAGCAAAATATGATTGGACTAACAAGTGGAATATGCTGACAGCTGTAAGCGACTGAAATTAGAGCAACTTGTTTCTACTCCTCGAAGTTATTAGGAAATATTGTTACAGTAACTCGTCCATAACGCGAGCAAACATAAAATGATATCAGATGCGAAACCATGACTACCCACAGAAAAACCATTAGGGCAAACTTTTCCACTATTAAATATGTCACTCTCTGGAACCAACTAACATCTGAATTTAGATGTTGTAAAAACACCGATGGGCTCAAACGGAGCCTAGAAAAACACAATAACGTGTCCGCTTTAGCTCTTTTAAAAGACGAAAACTGTTGGTAGAATGGTAAATGACAGCCAGTCCAGTTTTTAGTGTAGTCACTTACGTACAACTCGAATCTACTACTTACTCAGCGGAAGTTTAACTAATTTGCTGATTTTCTATTCTCTATAATCTTCAGTAAGATGCGTTAGTATAGGTAACTCTGGAAACAATTATACTAGCAACCATGCCTTTTAATATTTTACTTATACAATTAGCAATATAAGTATAAAACTTGGGCGCTGTGGTAGAGTATAACTCCATTATGGATAAGATTTTATTTCGATAAATCACACAGTCTTATACAGTAATAATAACTAATGACCACCTTTCGAGCACAAGCTATTGCTCATAAGCCTTCAGCTAAGAAAGTCAACTCAAACAGTGAAGCGCAACATTCAACATCAAGTCGTGAGTGGTGTAGACCAATAATTTTTGGGAAAGACTAACCGTTACACGTATAGGAACGAAGCAGATGTGAGGTACTTACACCTGCCAACAAATTTGTTTGGGACTGAAGAACTAGTTGTGAAGCCTTCAATAAGTGAATTGCGAAGTGCCGAAGAGTTCAACCACTTTGAGGTTTTCACCACTGTATTCTGGAGGCAACATGTCATGTGACTCACACCTGACTGTTACATTTTAGACTTAGTCGTTTGCAATATCACTACGCCTTTTGAAATTCATTTCAAACTTAGTTTTGATACTGGAGGTTGAAGATGTAAAATATTACGATTGCAAGGACAAATAATACGAATGAAGCGACATAAAGAAAGAAGTAGAATTCACCTGTCGGGTATTAAGACGGATCACGTCCATTGCAACGAACTTCTTCTGCGTGAAGAGTTCAGGACTTAGCAAGTGAATTGCCATTGCTTCTGCAGTTTGAAGAAGTTTTGACTTGTACACTTTCAGGGTGACTGCTTGGTATTCTGTAGACGACTTTGAAGTTTGTTTGGCGTCTACCTTGGTGTCCGGAATCCATCAGATATTCTAATATAGAGCTGTGGGGTCTTCGGTTTTCTCATTTGTAAAGCCATTCTGGTAGGTGTTCGGTGATACATTTGGATAGCGAACTCTGTGTACGGCCGACATACCTAGCTCCACACGAGCAGGTGAATTGGTAGATGCAGATTGATGAGACCAGCAGTGGTAGCTTATCCTTCACGTTTATACGAATCATAGATTTTTTTGTGCTGCATTCCGGAGACCGAATGACATACGTAGAAATTCAAAAAGTCCGAAAGGAGTAATGAAAGCCGTTTTCGTAATATCTTCTGGTGCCATCGTGATTTGGCTGTACGCTTTAACCAAGTCTGTTTTCGAGAATATACTTGGGCCAGATAATGCTGCCGTCAAGTTGTGTATGTGAGGCAATGGATAGTAATCAGGGGTTGTTTTGGAGTTCACTCACCGGTAATCACCGGTGGGTCGTCAATCGTTGCTATCGTTTTTCGGTACCATATGCAGTGGGGATGCCCATGGGCTATTTGATGGCCGAATGATTCCAAGGGTGAGCATATGGTCGAACTCATTTCTAGCGAGTCTCCGTTTGTCAGGAGCAAGTCGTTGTGCTTTGGATGTCACGGGCTGTCCTGAGGTTATGATATGATGCATAACATTGCTGGTTATGGATGGTAGATCGTTAGACCGACAATTAAGTTCCGGGCATTTATCAACAATCGGTTGGAAAATTGGATCAAGGATCGCCTTCATCTTAACGAGTGACAAGCTAGGGCCTACGTAGGTGATGCTTTTGATAGACAGTCTAGTAGTACCGTCAGTCAGTCGTTTTCGGTGGACATCTACGAGTAAATCATGATAATTAAGTAGGTCCGTGTCAATAATGGGCATTGTGACGTCAGCGAGAAGGAAAATCCACTGAATAGGTTTGTGTAAACCCACGTTCAGATAGACGTATTTTCTACCAAAAGTTGCAATCGGTTTTCCATTTGCAGACTGTGAGTTGAAGGTAGGTTCTTTCTGTCGATCTGCTGCTGTAGCAAGAAGGACGCTGACTTCGGCGCCTGTGTCGATTAAATATCGTGTCCGGCTGATCACATCATGGTTGTAAGGTAGGCGGCTAGTGCCACCGGCGACGGTTGCCTCTGACGCGTGCCGGCGGGATAGTTTCCCACAGACTTTGAGACATTGCCGAAGTTACAAGGTTTACGGCAACATTTCGCTTCCTAGCCGTAGGTGTTGTGATACCAGCACTAGTCAGGGTTTTTCAGAGAACGTGGGTTGGACTTAGAACGACCACGTGCGTTTTGCCGTTGAGGGGATTTAGGACGACGGTAGGAGGAATTACAAGGCATGTTTGATCTAAGCATCTGCTGGATAGAGTTGCACAACTCTACAGATGCACAAGATTACTCTTCATATGTTGCATAAATTATTTTGTGAGTCGGTGGCACAGCGGTTAGGATGCTCCCCGGCCATGCACGTGGTCCGGGGTTCGAACCCCTGCCGGTGCACTCCTTTATTTAACTAAGTCAGTCATAAAAAAAGCTGGTAAAGAGGAAAGTTTGGAAAGAAAGAGGAAAGGAAAGAAGCACAAGTGAAAACCTGAAAAGATGTATTGTGAATGAATTTGAATTTCAAAAGGCGCGAAGCGAATGCAAAAGTGCATAACTGTGTAAAGTAATTTTTTATTCCTTCACGTTCCCAGCTGAACATGGGGC